GAGCTGCAGGGACATACCGGTGGGAGCCGGGGAGCTCCCCCAGGTAAGCACCGCCCCACACTCCAACCACCTGCCCCAGCCCTGAGCCCCCTCCCACACCCAGAAATTCCTGCTGCTGCTGGCCCAGGGGTTTCCTGGCTCGGGCAGCCCCTGAGCCAGCACCGGCGGCTGCAGAAGTGCCGGAGGTCACCGAAAGTCACAGCATCCGTGACTTCCCTGACCTCTGTGACAGACACTCAGCCTTACTCATAGGAACACCTCTTGCTTTCTTCTGCACTGTGATTGGCAACGAGTTTCCTGGGGCCCCGAGTCCCCCAGGCCACCGCTTTAATTCCAGGCATTCCCCGTCGTCTGACCCAACATCCTGTCCTTTGGCTGAGCAATTGGCCCTGGAAGCATCCAGTGGCAAGGTGTTCCACAGGTCGATGGTCTCAACGTTGGATTTGACTGGTGTCAGATTTGCCACTTGTCAATCACACCCCCTGGCCCTTCCTGCTTGGGTCACGGATTTGATGGTGGGGGGAAGGTGAGGCTGGGAGTCCGGACTCCTGGGTTCTATTCCTGTTCCAATCATCCCATCTGAGCCCCTGCATAGCCCAGGCCGGAGAGCCAGGGATTCCTCCGTCCAGCCCATAGCTGATGGGTGAGCTTGCAGCAAGAGACGCATGCTCTCGATGGATAGCACAACGATGGAGCATCTGCCCTGTCCCTGGGACAATCACTCCAAGGATCTGTTCCCCGCCCTGGGGAAAATCTGCCCCTTGTTTCCAGTCTCGATTCCTCTGGCCTCACCCCCCAGCCGTCAGCTCCCGCTTTGCCTGTCCTGGCCGAGCTAACCAGCCCTCTGCTCCCTGAAATCTCCTCCCCAGGGAGACGCTGACCGACCGGGATCCAGTCCCCTCTGAGCCGCCTCTGGGAGAAACTCCACAGATCCAGCTCCTTCCGCAGGTTTTCCAGACCTCGGATCGTCCCCGTCGCTCTTCTCTGACCCCTCCCCGATTTCCTGACATCCTGTTTGACATGCATCCCCCCAGAGCTGGGTGCAGTCTCCAGTCCTGGTGTCCCCCATGCTGTATCCAGAGGGGACCCCACTTCCTAATTCCTACTCGCTATTCTCCAGCCGAGGGGCGCGCTCGCCCTCTTAGCCACAGCATCGCCCGGGGAGCTCATGGGCCGTTGGTGCCCCAGGACTCCTGGGTCCTTCTCCACCAGGGGATGGGGGGGAATCAGCCTTCTTGGAGCCATGAGACATGGATGAGGGGGTTTCACTCCCACCCCTGCACCAGCCCTTTCTTTGCCTCCCCCCACCCCTGCACCCACCCAGACCGCCCGTCTCTCTCCAGAGCTTGGAGCCTTCCCGCCACCCACCCAGGAACCTGCCGGACGGACTCACCTCCAGCCGGGCAGTGGGAGATCAGGGCCGTTGGATCCGTCTGTCCGGTCCCTGCCCGACCCAGCTCCACAGCTGCAGCCCCAAGCAAGGCCTGGGGAGATGTGAGGCAGCGAGGAACCGGAGTCCAGGTTCCCCCTTTGCTGGAACTTGAAATTGAAAGTGCGCTAAGGAGCCGGGAGGGGGGGGGGGGGGGGGGGGGGGCTAGGAAACATCTGGCTCCTGGGCTGGGGGCAGGGGGTTTTCCTTTAAACAGACAGCGAGAGGGAATGGGTCTGGTTCTGGCAGTCACACCCGTAATGCCCCTCACTCCCGACCCGCAGCCCTGGCTAGCCCAGCCCTGCACCCCCCTCCACGCCCAGCTCTGCCGGTGCCCCTCACTCCCGACCCGCAGCCCTGGCTAGCCCAGCCCTAGACCCCCCTCCACGCCCAGCTCTGCCGGTGCCCCTCACTCCCGACCCGCAGCCCTGGCTAGCCCAGCCCTAGACCCCCCTCCACGCCCAGCTCTGCTGGTGCCCCTCAATCCCGACCCATAGCCCCCTGCTGGCCCAGCCCTACACCCCCCCACCCCAGCTCTGCTGGTGCCCCTCAATCCCGACCCATAGCCTCCTGCTGGCCCAGCCCTCGGCTCCCCCACCAGCTCTGCTGGTGCCCCTCACTCCCGACCTGCAGCCCACTGCTAGCCCAGCCCTACACTCCCCTCCACGCCCAGCTCTGCCGGTGCCCTTCACTCCCGACCCGCAGCCCCTGCTATTCCTGCAGGGGTACCTGAGCCTGGGGTCTGAGAGGCAATCTGTGAGTATAACCGCACAAGGGCCCAGTGTGTTTATATCCGTGTGTGCTATAGAGCTAGATCCATGTGTGTGTGTGTGTGTCACACTCCCGCACCTCACAACCCCCCACCCCGACCCCATGAGCCCTCCCCTCCACAAGTCCAATCCCCCCAGGGCTTCCAGTCAAGATGAAATCAGCGCAGCGACGCTCCCAATTATTCCTGGTTGTTTATATTTGCTGTTTGTGGGTAATAAACGTAATTGAATTGAGCACCGCAACGGGAGACAGAATGGATCTGAGCTGTGGAGGGAGGGGCGGGCTGAGAGCCAGGACTCCTGGGTTCTAACCCTGCCTCCAGGAGGAGAGTGGGGTCTAGTGGTTAAAGCAGGAGGCCCTGGGAGCCAGGACTCCTGGGTTCTATCCCTGCCTCCGGGAGGAGAGTGGAGTCTAGTGGTTAAAGCAGGGGGGGCTGGGAGCCAGGACTCCTGGGTTCTATCCCTGCCTCTGGGAGGAGAGTGGGGTCTAGTGGTTAAAGCAGGGGAGGGCTGGGAGCCAGGACTCCTGGGTTCTATCCCTGCCTCTGGGAGGAGAGTGGGGTCTAGTGGTTAAAGCAGGGGAGGCTGGGAGCCAGGACTCCTGCAGTCTATCCCCAGCTTTGGGAGAGGAGTGGGGTCTAGTGGTTGGAGCAAGGGGGAGCTAGGTGTCAGGACTCCTGGGTTCCCTTTGGGGCTCCTTGTGGTGACCTGCAGCAATTGCTTCCCTTTTCTGTGCCTCAGTTTCCTCAACTCTAAAAGGGGGGGAGGTCCTGCCTGGTGACTGAGCCCCCCCAGGTGCCAGGATGCAGGGAGCTCCCGGGCGGCTGAAGCCACCTTCTGAGGCCCATTTCTCATCTGGGCCAGACAAACAGTCAGGGCCAAAAACTGGGGCTGGGAAACTGAACACACATCATGGTTATTATGGGAACAAAAGCTTGTGAAACTGCTGCACAGAACTTGGGCTAGAACCCAGGAGTCCTGGCCCCCAGCCCGCCCGCCTGCTGTAACCACTAGACCCAACTACCCTCCCAGTTCCCAGTGCTGTGGCTGGGGGTCTCAGGGTCCCAGCTCTGCAGCCGGGCTCGGTGTAACAAACACGCCCGGGGAGAGCTCAGAGTTACTGAGGGTTTTAAGCTAGAAAAGGAAGTGGCGGCGGTTCCATGAATCCCTTCACCAAGGGACTTACCGTGAACATGGAGGTGAAACAAGCCTCCTCACTTCTCCTTAGCTCTAACCACTAGACCCCACCCCACTCCCAGAGCAGGGGAATGAACCCAGGTATCCTGCCTCCCAGCCCTCCCCTGCTCTAAACTACTAGACCCCGCTCCCCTCCCCAAGCCAGGATAGAACCCAGGAGTCCTAGCTCCCTGCCCCCCACCCCAGTGTGGGTAACTGACTTCCCCCTACGGCAGGACATCTGATTACCCTGCCTCCATCATTAGCCTTGTTGCCATGCTAACAAATGTTATTAACGGTCACAAAATCACCCGACTCCTTTATTAAATCCAGCCACAGAACTGGACTCCCTGACCCACTGCAGTGGCTGGGAGGGGCGTGGGGCCTAAGGGTTAGAGCGGGGGGGAGGGGCTGGGAGCCAGGACTCCTGGGTTCTCTCCCTGGCTCTGGGAGGGGAGTGGGGTCTAGCAGTTAGAGCAGGGGGGGCTGGGAGCCAGGACGCCTGAGTTCTCTCCCTGGCTCTGGGAGGAGAGTGGAGGCTGGTGGGTTAGACCAAGGAGGCCTGGAAGCCAAGACTCCTGGGTTCTCTCCCTGGCTCTGGGAGGGGAATGGGGTCTAGTGGTTAGAGCAGGGGGGCTGGGAGCCAGGACTCCTGGGTTCTATCCCAGCCCCAGGAGGGGAGAGGAAAGGAGTATCCAGGACGCCTGGGTTCTACTGCTGTCTCTTCCACAGACTTCTTGTGTGACCTTGGCAGATCACAGCATCACTCTGTGCCTCGGTTTCCCCACCCCTGAAGCAGGGAGCACACTCCTGCCTGTTGCTATTTGGGGGCCAGCTCTGGCTGTGTCTGAGCAGAGGGGCCCCGATCTCAGCTGGGGCAGGGGCTGTCTCTGGCCCAGTGGGACCACAGGCCCCAATCCCCTTGGCAGGGCTACCGTAATACCCCTACTAAACAGGGCAGCTGAAATCTTCCAGCCCGCATCCTCCTGGGAAACATTCGTCCCTCAACAGTGTGTGGAAGTTGCCCCTCTTGAGGATCCCCCGCCCATCCCCCTGGGCTCCTGGCGCCTCGTCAGCGGGCAGAGGGAGCAATTAAACCCCAGGTAATTAGCATCGCCCCCCCCCCATCTAGGCAGAGATAGAGCAGAACAGTCACTATGCTCCCCTGGCAGTCACGCCCCGTGGGCGCGGGGGGGGCTCTCCCCTGGCAGTCAGGGCTGGCCC